GCGCTCCTCTTGCAGACCAGAGAAACGCCAAACCTTGGCATGCCCCGAATTCCCAGGTTAGGATTTACTATGGCAGTTATGGCTCAAGTATGACACCAACTTTGGCACGTCTCTGGCGTACCAGAGAAGAGCCAAACTTTGTAATGCCCTAGGATCGCCCAACTAAGGCTATAGTTAGGCAGCGTACTTTGGCACTGATGAGTGCTATGGTGCAAAAACCTAACTGCGCCAAAGTTGGGCGCTTATGTTTGCCAGACCTTTGCACAAGTTGGGCTTTCCTCTGGCATGCTACCTGGGATACGTTTGATAATAAACACATGAAGCCTATTTCAGTTCTTTCAGAAGACATTGTGGGTCATTGTGGCCGGTTCATACCTTGAAAACCTTCCTAGACGCAGGCTTTGCTTTCACTCCTTTTAACATTGCATTTTTTTCTCTCTTTTTAACTTCATGAAAACTACCTCCAGCCATCTTTTTACTTGCCGATATACAATAGGGTACGCAGCAGTAAACCATACCATAGGTGGATCGTTACGGTTCAAGCTCAAGTACAAGATGCAGGGCCTGAAAACATAAAAGCACTTCGGTGCTGTAGTCCAATCCGGTTCTACCTCCTGGCCCCGGCCCCTCGCCCCCTAATCAGTCAGACAGTGGCGATTGGATCAACATTGAAAAACGTTGGTACCGGCCTCTGGTACCGGTACCAACGTACCGGTACCAACGTATTGGTACCGGCCTCTGGCGCCGCTCTGCGGCGATGTGTACCCTCTGCGGAATAGAAGGAAGAGCGGTAATCAGCTAGTGGCAGGGGTGGGAGGCCGCAGGGAAGGCAGGCTGTGAGCTGCGTGTGGGTCCCGGAAAAACCTTTAACGCACGCCGTCAACGGAGAAATCAGGCACTCTACCAGTGACAGCTGGCCCCGTAGGGGGCCCTTCTGTGGGCAGGTCAGGATTACAGTAGGTTGAGGACCAGATACACAGAAAGACAAGCACACGCGCTGAACTTACAACTCTTGTGTATTCGACTACTTTGTTCTTCCCTTCAGGGTCTTGGCTGACTTTCCGGAATGTGATAAGCAGAAGAAGTAGTAAAAAAGTACAAGGAAAAAAGGCGGAAAACAAGCCAAAATAAAGGAAAGACAAAAAAAAAAAGAAAAGAATGAAACGAGAGAAAGAAAGAAACGAAAAAAACTTTCAGCGTTTCCACTCTGGTGAAGAATGAAGACCAGCGGAGCTGTACGATGGAAAATAATAGCCGGCCGCAAGTCGGCAAGCCAGAGTGGAAGGGCTGCCGCCATTTATGAGCAACGGCGGAAGCCAGGTACGTGGCTTGCCGCCGTGGCTCATAGATGGCGGTAGGTGTCCAGAGCTCGGTGTCTTCAGTTCTTCGCGGCGGACATGATCCTGGGAAAACTAGCCCATTACAGCTCCGCTGTGAAAATGAAACCCTTTCAGGTCACCCCTCTCCCCATAGCCTCCTAACTTAACCTAACCGTACGTAACTCGACGGGAAACCAGGTGATTCCCCAGCGTACGTCGCTCAAAAGACGACTTGGATAGTTGAGAGGCACTTTCAGCTTCGATTTCTTTAATAATTTTTAAATAAAAACTAGCGCGCACGAGTAGGTAGCTTTTCATTTCGTTTCATAGGTGACACAAAGTAATACCCGCAGTTAATTTTCCGAAGTCCGGAAATCGTTGCACCGCCCCTTTAATGGGACATAAAAATCATCCCAGGAAAACGGGATGTAAAGCGGGTGTAAGTTCTTTCAAAATTATTAATTTCGCTTATATTCTACATGATATAAATAGAGTAAAAATGTAAAGTGGATCCGCCTGTGCAAAAAAAAAAGCTTCAATATTTTATAAATAAAATCTAGGGTAGGTGACCAATCGGTTGAGCGCACAACGGCTTGAGGCACGTGGAGCGAAAGCGCTTGCAGCAAAATGCAGGTACCTTGTCTACAATACTCCCCCCCCCCCCACTCCCCCATTTTGAATTTGGGCTTTTAATTGGACACTTGGCGAGAACGTCCGCGATTCGCAGAGCGGCGTTGGCCAATAGCGGCGGTCGGCGATCTCGCTGGCTTTCTTGCCTAGGGACACTCTTGGGAAGTAATTCGTTACAAGCAACGGATTACATGTGATCCATAACTTTTTCAAGTTATTTTGTAATAACCAGGTTACTTTTTTTCTGAAGTAATTTGTAATGTAATTTCGTTACAAAATATTGGTCAAGATTTACTTTTATTACTCGTTACTTCTTAAAGTATGATCATAATACAGTAACTGGAGCAATACGAGCAGAACATTCAGCAGCATAGAGAAAGTTTAACAAAAGAGGGAACATCAGGAAGGGGAAAATAGCCGAAAAAAAAACACGATTTCTTGTAAGACCGGTCACTAGAACCGCTAGAAAAACGGGCAAAGCATGGTATACGAAGGACAAATATCACGTAAGACAACACCGAGTAGGCCTCCGTCGCCTTCCATCGTGTTTTTCTTCTTCTCTCGGGCAGGACAAAGCTCTTCATGTTTAATTGTTTTCGTCTTTTTCACCGTTTCACCCTTTCCAACTTCTTCGACATCTCCCGCCACCTGCACAGACATCAAATACGGGTCCGTACCCCCTCCGATTCACGGGTACACAACTCTCGTAACGGACGATGTAGCCTCGGGCGAGGGGGTCGAATTCACTTTGTCTATGATGTGCGCTACTATTAGCGGCGAGTTGTTTTGGTGGCGCCCTCCTATGGTTCCCCCTTGTGACGTCATTACCTTGCAAACAGCAAGTTCGATGGTGTTTGTAAATAGCATGTTGGAAGCTTGAAATCATTGCACTCTCAAGGGAACACTGCCAACACCGTCAAAATTAAAGTTTTTTCATTCCTCTTATTTCGTCATGGATAAATCCCCTTTCTGACGTCATAGTCAGCGTTCGGCCAATCGTGGAAGGCCGACCACAGCGACGCTTTCGGTCGCGCACGTCGCCAATATTTTAGCACACTCTTGAGGCACGGCCGAAAAGTGCCCGGGGCGAGGCTAAGAGCTTCGTCTTCGAGGGTTTGGACAATACTTCTTTTGGTTTACTTCTCTGGGCATGGTTATGGTAGCTATAAGGGGTGGTGCGCCGAGCGCTCCGCGTCTTTGGGTAGTTCCAGCTGCCGCCGCTTCAAGACAAAAAAGTAGCACTGTAGCCAGGATACCGGTGCATTTCTGCTCGAAGGGGCGTGGTGTGAAGCGTCTGAGGTGTTGTGCGAGAGCGCGGGGCACGAGAGCGTCTTGTACTACGCGTGCTCATGCAGGACGCACTTCCACGCGTGGTGCCATTGTGTGCCGTCCGATGGCACCAGGCGAAGGGCACCGGTGCCACCGGCGTCATGAACAAGTGGCATGCTAACGATTTCCTGTTCGGCACACCTCCCCTTATAGCCACCATTGCATCGTGGTCGAGTCCCCCCTTACTTTACAGTCAACTGTCGACATACAGGGGAAAAAAAAGGGGGGGGGGGTTAGGCCAAAGAGTGCTGACAAAGAGAGAGAGAGTGAATGTGGAAAAGTAGTGTGACCCTCTATTGCTTTGCGAAACCGATGGCCACCGCTTCTCTCGCTCTCTATGGCCTCCACTCCCCTGGCCTCCACAAATATTTGTATGATAGTGAGAACCGATGAACGACCGATAACCCGTAACCGCCACTTTTTCTCTGACCGGTCGAGTTTTCGGTCATGGAGTGTCAATCGTCTCCATGGCCATCTCTTAATGATATGTTCGAAATTCAGGGCATTAAAGTGAAAGGAAACCTAGAGTTTCAGTGCGTAATTCGCTTGCCAAAAACACAAACATTGCCATCACCAAGGACAACAAACTCTAATCGACGGAAACACATCAAGGTAAGCTGGGACATCTACATTCTGCATTGGCTATACAATGCCCACGTTAAAACCGAGTTTTTTTCTTTTTTTTTGTAAATAGCAGGCGAAACACCCGAATCAAAAGGGAGCTTTCGTAGATCGCTTTTTTACCTCCGAATCTCATAGCGGAGGTAGACGCTTCTAAGGAGCATGCGCACCGCTAGCTTAGTCTGCACAATTCCAGGGATCATTTCCGGATGCCGTTAGCTAGCAGGATGGCGGGTGTGGCTTCCGGTGCCCTGTCCGCTTACAGGTGAACGGAGTGCATCTACACTCTTTTAAATACAATATTTTATTTTTACAAGGACTACCGTAATACGGGCGTATGTGAAATAGAAAGTAGTGCTTCGGAACATTTTTGAAAAATATCAAAATGATTTATATTGTTTTCTGAATAAGTGTACGGGAAAAGTAATCTGAAAGTAATTTATAACGTAACGAGTGAAGTGATCCGTTACTTTTCAGGGATAGTAATTCGTAACGGTAGTCCATTACATTTGAAGCTCGGTAATTTGTAATTGAAATCCATTACATTCTTGAAGTAACGAGCCCAAGTCTGCCTAGTGACCGACCAAGAGGCCCAGAGGCACCAAGCTTTTGGACCTTACCGGCTTGTGGTCGTATGTCACTATTGAGTCATGTGCGTTAGAACTTCAGGCTAACTCCTGAACTTCACCGCATAGATATTTCATCACCACGTAAACCAGTGTAGACCCATGGCAGACAACTCTTGCACGGTTTAAGCATCTAATGCGTATTTTTTCTTTCTTCAAGTAAAACGTGTAGCGTACCATTCAAGATGCGACCTGCACAGCTAACAATATTTTTAAAATTCATAGCCATGTAATGCCGCGGAATGCCCATATAAAGTTCCATATTTGATAGATTCCTTTGTTTGTAACTGTAACCACTGCAAAAGCAGGTAGGTGCAGCGCGTGAAACTGAACACGCAGCGTGCTCCTTGGTTTTTGTGTAATTGAACAAAAGGTTTATGCGTATAATGCAATTAAATGCAAAGGTGCAAGCGAGCTGGATAAGAATGACGAAACTTACTTTCGTCAGGTTTATGCGTATCCATTTTATTTTCATTTAGAGGAGAGGAGTGTCGGTTCCTTCAAGGTTCACGAGTCTCATCGAGCTTCGGAAGACTTGCTGAGCCAGCTTGAAGTTCAGGGCCTTGCGGCTGACCCAGCCTTCCTTGCAGTCCGAGTAATAATTCCCAGTTTCTCGACCAACCACGGGATCAACAGCCAAGAACAGGGCTGTCTGAGCACCTTCCAGTGGAGTCTAAAACAGGCAGAACCGAAATAAAAAGCTTCAGACTGTGCGCCATACCTAAATCAGAAACTTTTCTTTTTTTTGTTTTAATGGATGATAATTTTCTTAGTTTCCTCACAAAATCTGATACGGTAGCCAAGGAGATAAAGTTTTACAGTCCGCTTCACCTCGTGCTTTCTGCAAAGCCCAATGAAGGAAGGGCTCTGACTTTCTGACTCGAATCCTATTCTCGCAAACTCTCTCCTTTCTTCATTCACTCCTTCTCTCCACCTGGACGAAAATGGCACGCAAGAATCAAATGCGTGTGATATGTAGAGGCCGACATACAAAGATAGCAAGAAAATAAACCAGTGAGCGAATTAACAATACATTTTTTTTTAAAGAGCCGTAGTTTGTTATATAATTAAGACAAAGCTAACGCGGTAATAATCCAGAAAGTACTGCTGCGACAACAAAGATATCATGAAAGTATCAAGTATTTTTAATTTTTCTTATAAGCTTTCATCAAACGATGCAAAATATTAGGACAAATAAAAATATTTTGGTCAGGCTGCAATTAGTGGTGGCGATCGAATGACCTTAGACGCTGCAAGTGTACCTTATACTATTATAAAACTAAAACTCTGTCGATAGATAGTTTCAAATCTTTTATGAAAGTGCGAGAACACGCTTAAGCGTTTTTAGAGAACAAAAATGCGCAATATGCAAAAGGCAAAATAAGGCCTGGCTGAGAAATATGTCGACCAGTCTAAAACAAAATTGCATACTTGGCCTAATCGGAGGCAATTATTTGAGATGTAATTTTTACGTTGTATCGAACTATTTTTGACAAAGTGTGAAGTATCGTTATCGCTCGGATCTTTCATCGCTATCTGAATTGCAATTTCCAACAATATAAGGTATCAGTATTGAAGATACAATTCCGAAGTAATTACTTAGCCATGCTTCGGACATCCTGGTCGTTCTTCACAAAGCAATCACGAAATAAATTTAAACCAGAGTTTTACTTGTAATCATCATGAAGCTAATACCTACCTTGTTGCGTGTCAGTTATTTATCAGCTTTTTAAGTTAGTATTTTGGTAAATGCATTTATTTCTTACTTCTTCATCCCCACCTTAAGCAATAGTAATCCGGTTCTCATTGTACAGCATGTGAGAACTATGTTTCACCCGAGAATGCGGCACGGCATTTGCAGTACCATTGTTGCTGACAGTTTAAGGATCGCCGGGTGGGGCTCATCCTGTACACACTTCTTGGTTTCAGATTCGTTCAGCGCTCTATTGATCGGCTACTTCCGCGATCTCATTTGCTGCGGATAGGAAATGAGAAGCTCACGATTCGACAGGACCTGGTTTTTAGGTCGTCAGCGACTCTATAGCATTTATCTGCTCCATGCATAGATAAAACAAGCATACTTTCCCGCCTAGGTACTGAACTAGAGAGAAGTAGGATGCCATGAATCTGGGAGCGTTCAGCGCAATAGAAGTCCTCACGAGTCCCGGATGAACAGCATTGACAGTCACGCCTGTGAAGGAAAGGTTACGCAATTTGAAAGGACGGCAATGGGGCAGAACGCTTCTGGGCTACTTTAATGCAAAAATGAAAATTTATTTTCTTCTTTTTAAATCGTCATAGAACCGAGTGGAATTAAATGAGGTGACCTTTAAAGGAATATTGTTCATGAACTTCATAAAGAACTCATATGTCTGAAACCTACATCCTGCAACATGAAGGTTGAATTAAAAGTCGATATAAAAATACGTAGGAATTAGGCATAGTGCTAGACTGATTACTAATTTGATTGGCTTGCATATGCCCCTCATTCGCGACCTCAATTGTTTTAATGTTCGTACGAACAAAATTCTACTTTATCTGTATTACAATTAAACACAGAAAACTGGCTCACACTCATCCGTTGTAAATAGATTTATTTATAATCACGGTTCCTATAAAGATATTCGTGTCGTCAGTAATTATGCCAGCAAATGTGCCTTCTTCGAACATATTGCACAACAGGGAGCGTAAACGTTGCGTTTCACTGTTGCGTTGAAGCATATTGTGTTTAATGGGAAATGATTTTATCGGAAGCTCGCATTAGGAACGCACCTCGAAAGCACATGAGGCATTCGAAAACGATTTGCTAAAATCCAGCCAATTTGCATAATCTGCACCAGCCTTGATGCGTTGAGGGGATTTTAGACATTTTGAACATGCAACCCTCTCGCTCATGCTCTGCAGGTGAAGAACATGCAATGCACTGTCGTCTGTCTTATGTGGCGTAAAGTGTTGGCGGCGACTGTCGACAAGCATGCGCCGACATTTTAACGAAATTGTGTGCCCACAAAGCGCACGAGCATTTCTGAAGCATTTCTTCACTTTCTGTTTTATAGAAGTTATATTCCAGCAGTGGCTTCCGGGCCTTACCAGAGTGCACTTAATTGCACGAAAAATAAGCTGTCTAAGCACTTCGATGTCAGAGTCAAATAGACTATAGATGCAGGTAACTTAAAACTAGGTGACATAGTATAGAATATAGGCTATATGTCACATTCGATTATTTGATTCTAATTTATATCACTAGGGATCTTTAGCAAACCGTTGCCATGCTCCGCGGACCGCACTACCGGAACCCTTCGAAGCATGCTTTTAAGCGCGCCCGGGTGGTACCGTGACCGCAAGGCGCGCGCTTTAAAGCATGCTTCAAAGGCTCCGGTAGTTCAGCACGCCAAACACGGCAGCGGTTTTCTAAAAGTCCCTATTGGGGACCTTTCGCAAACCGCTGCCGCGTTCCGAGTACTGCACTACCGGAGCCTTTAAAGCATGCTTTTAAGCGCGTGCCCGGCGGCCATCGTGCACTTGGGCGCGCGCTTAAAAGCATGCTTCGAAGGGTTCCGGTAGTGCGGTACTCGGAACGCGGCAGCGGCTTGCTAAAAGTCCTTATTGGTAGCGTGTGCCATTTGAAGCGTTTAAAGTCAGGACTTAAAACGAAAAATATAATTTTTGGCTGCGGTTACGATTACCATTTCCTGTTGATACCGGTTTTGTTTAAGTTTTTTACGGTTTCGGTTACCGGTTACACGTTCCTAAAACCGTTTTTTTCCCCAATAACTCGTGTAACTGAAATGCTAGACAACCGTTTTATGATAAACGGATTAGTACAGTCCCATATATCCCACAACGGGACATTCAGAATAACGAGGAACTGAAAAACGTCTTAGTACTTATAATTGATCAAAAGGTACACACGTTTCTAGTTCCAAAGCTTGTCCACAATATCTATTTGCATTATATACCGTGATACCCAAGCATACATGTTACCCCGGCTACTCGAGGATTATCGCATTCTATATAATAAAAATAGAAATAAATATCGCTTCTTTGTTGTTCGGCAGCGTCTGTAAACAACCCTCAGAAAGTTCCCACTGGGTGCTGGAACAGGCATTCGTATCTTCCCTTCGCTATAGTTTGTTGCAGCCTAAGATATGCAGAAGAGGCTTTTCCTACAATGAATGAGGGAACAGAACTATAACCCTCCTCTAGTGAAATACTGCCAAGTGGTATAGAGTATTAAAATTGAGAGCTGGGCTAGTTGGTGCAAGTCAAACATAATGTAGATGCAATAGCGCAGAACAAGAAAGACTAAGGAGAGGAACAAACAACACCAAAAGCTATAAACATGCCATGTGTTGTTCGTTCCTTTCCCTAGTCTTCGTTGTTGTGCGCTGTTACACTCTAGTCGTGTTTGCTATTTCCAAGAAAATGCATGTGTCTATAGAAGCGCACGTTTCTCGGTGTCCGATTTTGTGACGCAAGAAAAACGTGTGCATTTATACATAAGAAAAAAAGTGCGGACGGAAAATGATAGGATATATATATGTTTGTGTGTTTGTGTTTGTGTGTGTGTGTCAGTGACTTTATACAAAACGTCAATGTAAAACTTCTGATATTTTTGTTTTCTTTCTGTGTCGTTCAAAAATCGTTACTCGCGACAACTTTCAAACGAAATGAATATTAGGCTTTGTTTTCCGACAGCGCTGCATGATGGTCAATTTACGTCGTTTCTTCATACTGGCCAGTGCAAGGTCAGGAACATCGGTGGTTTTGACAGAACCGCTTTAGATGGACATCGCAGAATTGTAACTTATCAAAAGAAGTGCTTAGGTGTACCTCGAACTTTTTGTTTCTGCGCGTAGTCGGTTTAGATGGTGATAGAAAACCAAGAAAACAAAGACAAAGGGTTCCATAATGATGTAGTTTTGGCGCGGCTCCATTGGCTACATCGAATTGTAGCGCCGGCGCCGGTGGCGGTGGCGCCGGCGCTTCACTCCTTCTGAGTTTGGTTTTTGAGCACGCGCAGTGTCCACACCTGATGTGGGAAAAGCGGTCTTGTTTGTGTAAAGACTGTGTCGGTGCATGGGCAAGAAGTAAAGGGCCATTAAGACTGACTGTTTAATGATAATTATTAGCTAGGAATTATCGATCACTGTTGACGTTGAGCCCGTTAATAGTATTCAAAAAAGCTATCGTTGCCGAATAATGTTGCGAATCACTGGCTGGAGAACCCTCGGGTATATTACCATGAAAAGCGCCTCGAAGAAACAAATTCCATTTTCTTCCTGTTGGTGAAATAAAAAACTATTATTTTTAATCTGTCATTACCGAATTATTTTTACACGGTAACCCCCCTCCCCCCCCCCCCCCCCCCCCAAAAAAAAAAAAAAATATCACCAGAAGATAGCTACAGTGGTGAAGGTATTTCCTAAACGTTCTAGCAGAGCACCCCACCGCAATCACGGCTAGAAGAAATTTCGTGACGCCCTAGAGGCCTTTCAGTGAAGGTTCACAAAAGCGTGGTCTTCGAGACGGCAGCGGGCGCTACCGTCTCGAAGAGTGTAATTGAGCAAAAGGCATCGAGGTCGATCACCTGCTACGCCTTTAAGTGGTGCGGTGCTCTGGTTTAGTGCCACTCTCGCAATATATAAAGGTTTAAGCAGAAAGTACAATTTGGGGGTTTCACATGTCGAAGTAACAAATGGCAGTTGGCACGCCCCAGCGGGTGACTGGGGATCAGTTTCGGCCACCTGGGGATCTTTTAACGTGCAACCCGATCGGTTACACGCCTTCAACGAAGTGGACCTTCGTCAGATTGGGGGCTTCTTGGCCTAGAGTAGAAAGCTTCGATTGGAGATCCGTAAGCCGGCGCTTTGCCTCGAAGCACTGAGGCGGCCCATTACCAGGTTTTCCGGCGTCTTTTTCTAAACTACTTTTCGTGGCATCGTAGCATAGAGAAACATTTGCTCGTGGCTCTCGCTGTAGCGGTTGTTATCTGGGGAGGGCTCCTGTGCTCTTTGTGCACGACTCCTGGGTGCGCGAGTAAGGTGGGCTAGAAGGGCAAGTGTAGCGATTGCTCGCTATGCAACACCGGCGATAGCTGTCCAGCGATTTAGCCTGCACAGTGAAACGTCACTTGTAGGTCGGCAACAGCCCCGAAAGCTCGCTCCGTGATTGAGAGGCGCTCTTTCTTCTCCACTCTCGACCGTTCAGGAGGAGCGCAGGGTGGAGCTGCTGTAGACGTGCAGAAGATAACCCTCTCTTTAAATGGTTGAATGGTGGGATCGCTCCTGCCCTCATGACTTCAACACCGGCCCTTCCGATCTCACCATCACACGGCCCCTCCAAGCGGTGCTTAAATGAATAAACGAATACATTCAGCTGAACCTTTTTAAATGGGCGGCGGCTCGCGTCACCTGGCCAGTGCTATAATTTCAGCTGAAAAACCGCAACCTAATAAACCAAGTTTTGCGATGAAGTGTCTGTAAAGTAATACTTGTGAACATTACAATGAGCGTTACGCGACTGCTTGCTCGCAACCAGATCCACACATCCTCCGCCCTACGGGCCGACAGGAAAGGAATAGAAAATATTTTTCGTGCCCACGATTACTTCCGCTCGTGAGCCTCCCTATCGCCCGTTTTCAATCAAAACGTAAGTGCCTGTTTATATTGAACCTTGGTCAACGTTGTCGGGTAAATCGGTAACGACCATTTCAATCATCGAATATAACTTTCAAATCCTCTTCAGTGTCCCTTGAAGTAAAATAGAAATTGGCCCTTTCTTTTGTAAGTTAGAATAGGCTCGCGCCTGGGTGTAAATGGTCAATAAATACTTCCGGTTTTGAGCTAGAATGTAAGCATTTAGGTATTTGTAACATCAAATCAACGAGCTATTTTATAAAAGCGTATCGCCTATCTATAATTTATAACTCACTTCCCGTGTTTTCGGAGTTTATATTTCCTAAAATTGGGGGGGGGGGGGGGGGGGCGGTATTTTGTTTCACCGATTCATTGTTTTTCGGTGAGTATTTTAGGTGCCTGACGAAATATCAGGCTTTTTCTCCTTTTCCCGCCCGTGGCCACTGATGTGCGTTTTTCCCTATCCCGCTCAAACCCTACGCCCGCTGCCAGTGCGTCGTCCACACACACCCGAAGATTTCCGCCACCAAACGGACGGTCCCGGCCGCCGTTTTTCGGGATGGATCGGACTGAAGCCGGAGGTTTAGGGCGCTCCTGGCCACTTCCTCGGCCGCCTCGGTCGCCGATGCGCTGACTGCGTCGTTGAAATAAGACCGCACGCTTCCGACTCGCACCAGGATCCGAACCTCGCAAAAAATATCCGCCTTCTGCCTTTTGGAAACCGGATAATAACCTGGTTTAGACAGCCCTTCACCGATGTGGCCGAGTCATTGGAAAAAACCTTTAAGAGCCATCAAACGTCTGAGCGACGTCGCATAACGCATACATTGCGCCGATTGATCGCGGGTCCTTGTGGTGCACCGTGACCAACTCTGCCTGTATGAAGGACTCCTTTAAAAGGGTTCTCAAGTCGATTCTAAGATCGTCTATTTATGGCAATCACCCGTGGTCACCTGAATCTAGAGTTGAATAGAAAATACGAGTAGAAATGCCTTTGTCGCGAAGTGTCGCCGCAAGTGCTCTCGTGAAGAGAACGAGGGCCAGTTTGCTGTCGCAGTAGACGGCCAACGGGTCTGCCACGGGATGTGTCCCATGCGCCCTGTCGTCGAAGCGCTCTGCGCTGCCGAGAAGGTGCAGCTCCGAGGACACGTTGATCACTCTGGACGGGGCGCTCGCCTTCAGCAAACCTGCGCAAAGTTCACCGGGCTGGAATGAGGGAGAGTGAAAGACGGGCAAAGTATTTGGGAGAAATCTCTCCGCTGAAATTCTACGCCGTAGAGAAATACAATGTTACAAAAGAATCCAGAGGGCCAGTTGGGTGAACTTACGCGGAAACAAAAAATCTAAAGCTTTTCGTCACAGTGGAAGAAGTGACAGCAATGGATGTTACTGTGGGTACGAACACCCACTTTTATGCATATCCACTTTTCGAGCGCAGCTCCCAGGCGCCCGTTTCCCGGTTGAGCGGCGTCGGCGGAACCGCGCGATGCATTATGAAACGTTTCTCAAAATGATGTCACACGTAACGCCAAGTGGTACGTCACACGTCACAATTTTCCCGCTAAATTTAGCGTAAAACTTTTTTTCCGCCAAATTTAAGGATAAAATTTTACCCTCGTGACGTTACACGCGACGTCGCGGGGGCGTCATGGGGACGTTACGTGACGTATGCACCCTCCCCTCCTCGTCCTCAAGAGCTGCGCTCGGATTCGGCATTACAGGGGAATTGTAAATGTCTTTTATTTTTTATTTACTCGATAACGCACAACATGAGCACATGGTTATCTAAAGTATTTGGAAAGGGAACTCAATGTTCACCCGACTCGACCCCCTGTCTTGTGAGTTGTTAATGGAGAACACTTTTACGAAATCATGAATGCTGCAGCTTCTCCGCTCGTAAAACCGTATGTGAAATATAATGTGATTTTGTGAATTGTAAAGCAAGCACAAAAGAGAGGAGAAGACGAAAGCGCGTGGAGATCTCAGAACGCCGAACTCTGGTTGTAACGATTAGTGAGTAAACCTAAAGCTGGCAGCCTTTGTCTCCACTGCGGTCGTAGAACGCGTTATAACGCAGAACGCTGGCGTCCGACGTTCAGCTTTTGCAATCGAACGCGTTCGACAAGTGCAGTGGAGACAAAAGCGGCAAGCTTTAAGTCTACCCACTAATCGTTCCAACCAGAGCTCGGCTCCTCCTCTCCTTTGGCTTCTCGACGCATAGGGCAGTTTTACGTGACGCACCGCCAGCTCGAAATCTCGCCGGACACCATGATGATGAACTGTAGCCCCATGTTGTTCTATGCTCTGCGAAGGCGTTTTCCAGATTGCCGAGCTTTTTCGAGTCGTGACCGACTGGGTCACCCTGAGTATTGGGCAAGAGAAAGATGCATCATTTGGTGGTGGATTTTTATGCGTAACAGTCCTCACTCAAATATAAGACGAGCCTGTGATAAGAAAAGTCTACCCATTTGCGGCCAAAATGGCTTCAAAAATGCCGCCGGTTAAATTAAAAAAAAAAAAAAAAAGAACAGTGTGAGCACGGTTTAGTGCGCTTCAAACATGTCCCCGGTCGTTCTGAGTTTTGTCGCCGACTTGCCATGCTTGTGAAAATTATACTGCACAAAACAAAAATGCTAATAACTTATCATCTACATGCCAGCTCATGAAGAAAAGGGTGGACATCATCGACGTGGCCGGACACGCCTCACCGGAAGTGAAAAGGCGTTTCATGCAACCGTATTATAGGCTCCTTGCACTGACGTCACATCGCATACTTTTGAACACCATGTAAAAGAAAGAGAGGGAAGCTGATCTTGTAAGAATTTTGAGTGACAGGTTAACCTTCTCTAATCTTCTGGGAGGAAAATAGCGACGCCTGAACAAATCCGGGAGGCTCCTGATAAGAGGGGAGCTCCTTGTTCCCCTTTTTTCTGGAGGTCATCGGAAATGACGTCATATGCAAGCCACGTATAAAGAGTTTTCTCCAGACAGTCACTCTATGCAGGGCAGACATGTATAAATTACTCAAAAAAGGTAGTTAAGTTACTAAGTATCGACGCCAAAAGTAATTGGAGTAGAGTAGAAAATACGCATTTCTAATAGTAACTGACTAAACTATTACCTACTGTAAAAAGTAGCGAGTTACTTTTGAAGTTACATTTGAAGTTACTTTTTTATATTTCTGAGGCAGCGAAATAAACAGCAGTTTTGATCCGTGAAAAACCCTGCGAGCCTAAAATAAATGCAGTCATTTTATGGCTTGCGTTTTCACCAATATAGTTTGTTTGCGCACAGAAGCAATTGACGTTAAAATTTCGTATCGGAGAGTTTCCCCATCTGCTCCTAAAGACGTCCCCAGACAAGCTAAAAAGTCCTTCCACCCTGGCGCTGGATGGAACGGCAGCGTTGAATTTCAGAAATAGGCTGTGCGGGGTCGGGTAAGCGAGTGTCGGCATCTTTGGTGTCCATGACGAAACATGCGAGGTTCGCCGCGGCTAGAGGGTCTTCTATAACAAACTCTGCTCCTGTTTTTCTTTTTTCTTCACCAAGTTGAGATTGTTATGAATGGCCCCTCTTTATTCCCACGACGTTAGGAGTCAAGGGATCAAGTCTGGCACCGCGACGATCAGATCATCCGGACGACTGCGCGTCTCGTTGCAGTGGTGCTACGCTACGAAGTATACTTCGCCGCTTGCGCCGGGTCCAACAAAAGGATCTCTTAAGGGTGACTCGCAATCCTTACCGACGACTACGGTATCGTGACGCGCCTGACAAGTAAAACTTTTCCAATAAAGAGGAGGTCTCCCTGGCGTGGAAGGTCGGAAGGACGCGAATGATTGTGTGGACAAACATCGTCGCCCGTACAGTTGCAGCTGGAAGCAGGAACGTGCTCCCATGAACGGATTACCTGCGTCTGCGTTTGTGCGCGGGCGACTCCGGCTTTGCAAGGGAGTATGCGCTGACGAAGAGGCGACCATGGGAACAGGGGCCCAGCTGCGAGGTCATTCCAGTGGCGTCTCCCGTGGAACCCACCGCTCGAGTCAGAACTAACTAAAGTCAGACAACATGAAAACAACAACGACCCTCGGAGTGTCCCCGTTTTTCACGGTTGCAACTGAAGGACCGGCGCCTGCGTGCGTTACCGGATGGTCAATACCCGACCAAGGCTTGTTAAGCATCTCTTCCTGCTTCCGTGCGCGCCGGTGTTATGTTTTCACCTTGGCCCAAGGACGCCTGCGATGCAGTTTCTATGGCTGCTGAGTATAAGTACGTGGGAACGGAATGTCAGAGGGCCCCTTGTTCAGGAATGCCACCTCATCTGGCGGCGTCTTATTTATTTTTGCGCTCAAAGTTTCGTGATGAGCAAAATTAGCACTAGATTTCGAAAGCAGTTGGCAACTTGAGTAGAAGTTACCTGAAAAACGTAGTTAAATTAAACTACCAATTACCCAAATAAAGTTGTAATTGAAAGTTACCAAGTTACTCGGAAAAGTAATTAAACTACAGAAGTTTGAGCAGAGTAAGAGTAGTTGAACTACGTCCAAGTCTGATGCAGGGTGCCTGGGACGCGCCTCCGCCTGGCCTATTTACCGCACCCAAGGAAATGGTTCCTCGATTTCCGTTTGATGACGTCATAGAAGTTCCATGCTGTCGCCGGCCGCGATCCTGGGGACGTCACAGCAGCAGTGGTAAACGTGACAGAGGCCTGTTCTACTGCAGGTCGCTCTTCAGCTTGTCAGACCACGGAATACTTTCGGCAGCCAGGAGTTGCGGCGCTGTGCTAACAGTGACACGTTCGCCAGCATTTCGTCAGCATTTCTACGACCAACCGCCAGGATTGCAACATCCAACAGCACGAGACTCCGGGCTTTTGTGACGCCATTTGTTGCCATTTTGGGGCCCCTTTCAGAACATGGACGGAAAAGGACGTTCAACAGACCAGTCGTAGTAGAGGCGTTTCAGGCATCGCAGTCACGCGAAGCGTAACACCCCAAGCTTGCACGGCGACGTTTGCGACCACCTCTTGGCGGGGTCCAGTTAATTTCCGACGTTTTCAACTGCTCGTTTTGTGGATGCACGTATGACGTAGGACACGGCGAATCGCATTCACTCCTGGCTGTCAATGAAGGTCTATGCTCATGTTCTAACTCTCTTCGCCACGAACGATGGAAGGCATGCGAAGAGGCCAAGGCGCCTATGCGAAGAAACAACCATAGAAACCGACGCCGGGACCGAAAAGATGCGCCGCTGTATTCACATCGACAGGTCGTCGGTGTCGTAAATTCCGATAATTGATCTTCCACCGTCGTTTACGGTGGCGGGTTTCCCGAGGTCACGGGCTCGTTTCGCGCAGAAACGCTTCGCGTCTGTTTTTGCGCACAACCAAATTACCCTATATACGAAGTGGGTCGGATGTCGGGAATCTTTGTCAACTTCTCTCAATAATATTTCTTTAAAAATAGCAGTACGTTGTACTAAAAGCCTTGAGACAATAAACCACACAACGTTGTTGTTTTTTTACTGTTTTAATTGTTTTTCTAAACCTGATTTGGTTAGCTGAGCTTTGAGGTCACAGCGAGATATTCCGTCACCTTTCACATTCTTCGACTCATTCTTTTCTAGGCCCTATGAACAAGCAACAAGAGGATGAATTCCTTGCGCTTGTGCAGACAGTCGCGAAGCTTCAGAGTAGGCTTGGTCTGTTGCAACAAGAGGTAAACCTACTAGCACAGAAAAATATAGAAAGCGAAAAATCTGCTTCCGCTCTAGAAGAACGCGTTAACAACCTAACAACTGAACTCGACTTACTAAAGCAGAAAGAAATCGGTAGCGTCACACCTATCGAACCTCAGCTTACTACAGCTCTAAACGAACTTTCGCAGCTGAAAACTTGTTGTGACGACGCGGAGGGCAGATCCCATCGTAACAACCTTTTATTTTTTGGCGTCACTGACACCGATAGGGAAACGTGGGCCCAGTCTGAGGGCTTTGTAACTGGCCTGTGTTCCAGAAACCTAGGCGTGAATGTCGAATCAAGTAAAATTGAAAGAGCGCACCACTTGGGAGCGTTCAATTCACAGAAATATAGCCCTATAATTGTGAAGTTTTCATCATTCAAGGATAAAGAGGGCATTCTTTCGTCGGAATTTAAGCTCAAAGGGACAAGCGTATGTATCAGTGAAGATTT